ATCATGCATCGTCGATTTCACCACTTCATGTTGTAGTTACCGGTAAGCCTCTTGCCAGTCGGCATAATAAAATAGGATCTTGTCGAAACGAGTATCCGTCATCTCGGGTAAATAACGAAGAAGAGTCTTTATGAAGACTGTTTTCCCACAACCCGCAAACGATCGATGTCCAAGGATGTTTCCAGCGCACATCCATGTTGCTAAATGACTGATTCAGCTACTTAGCGAAGCTACATAAATGCTACTTAGCGAAGCTACATAAATGCTGAAGAAAAGAAGAAACGGTGATGAGCTTATAACTCGCCCCTTCGCAGTGGCCGCGCGGTCCCGCTAGCTCATATCCAGTGGCGGAAGCGCCACATTGAATAAGCTTTTTAACATGGCGCTCGCGACTGCAGGAATAGCTTATTTTAGCACCGCCAGTGATATTAGCTTTCCAACGTTAAACTGTGAGCTAATAAACGTTCAATGAGCTCGTACGAGCGAACGCTTGTGGGCGAAAGAGCAGCTTCTAGCAATATAATTTGCTAAAATTTTATTGTGATTCGTGAGATCATATTCGAGGATAGAAATACATATATATATATATATATTTGTAAGAAAATTTATTGCTTCTTTATTTTGCAAAACTTATTGTAATAGAATATACAGGGTGTCCCAAAAGTAACGGACCACCCTAATAACTCTTCAGTATTGAAATTTCGACGAAAATTATCTGAATAAAAGTTGTAGGGATTTAAGTGAGCTACCTTATGATGACCTTGAATTTGACCTTAACCTCTATTTTCAAGGTCATTTGAAGGTCAACTTGCGTTTTTTAAATGGGAACCCTTATTTTTTATTCTACTTTTTTTCTACTAGTTAATTTGAACAACTTTTGTTTGAAACATTTTTTATTTGTCTAATATTTTTTGAGATATTTGAGGAAAACTTGATAACTTTTTCAATATTTAACGATATCTTGCTAACTATTTGTCGGAAGAAAAAGTGATACTAGACTTTTTTATTTTACTTGATCTCAAGAATATATTGTTACAATAGTGCTCTAACATTTTTTTAACTTATCAACCTTCGGAAATTTCAAGATTATCAAATTAATAAATGTCAGACACTTCGCGGATGTTCCTTGTAAGATATTTACTATAGCAACGTATGCATAAATGTTATAATTAGTAATGCAGTTACATATGTTTTATAAATGTCTCATACTCAGACGAAAATATAATATTTGTATAACGACTTTATATATATAATAATATATAGACAACTTTAAGATTCTTTTTATAATATCTAAAAATATTCTTATGTTATAAAAAAACGTCTTATAAAAATCTTATTTAAGACATTTTTAAGACGTTTTTTAAATAAACATGTTTTCATATACATGTTGTATTTAACAATATTTCTTTTGCTTATGATAATTATGTTACAGGTATTATGATAATGCCTTATTCCATAATGCCTGAAGAGAAATTAATGATAAATCGTCCGTTCGTGTATGGTATAATAAAAACCATCCGGAGTGAAGACACCTATAAAATGATGCCGATATTCACTGGATATATTTTGAATCCTGAGTAATGAAAATAAATGTAAATTCTGTTGGAATCTAAACCATCTTGTTAAAAGAAATGTAACAGAGGACACAGAAATTCAAATTGTCAAATAAATACATCACATATATACACATGTTACCAAAAATATTGTATTTATACCTAATGATTATAACTTTGACACAATAACGCACACACACACACACACACACATATACACGCATGCACGCACACACACATATGTATACAGGGTGTTTCATTTTAAGTGATATAGTCGATTATCTCGCAAACCAATGATTTTATTGAAAAAATTTTTCAATAGTTATATGGCTTGAAGAGAGATCCACAGGACGTCGACCCTACATGGCTGCCGGAGGCAGATTCACGTAATCGAGGATGCCTCCGGCCGTCTAGGGATTGCATCCGTCTGCCGACGAAGGGGGCACTGGCCATCGTGGGGAGAAGAAGGTGATTTCCCCTTCTTCCCTGAGGCCCCCACTCCTCGCCCTCCTCAACGTAATCGAGAGGGGCTGGGAGAGCACGTGGGTGTCCCCTCTCTTCTCTCAACAAGGAGAGCAGCCGGTGGCCAATCCGGCAAGCCTGCTCAGTCGGGGCGCCGCGCCCTTCTTTCCCGCGTAAGCTGGGGGTCGCAACACTAGGGCGGAGGGCTCGTCATCGAGCCTCAAGGCTGGAGTGCTGAGGAGGGAATGCAGGCGCAGTTCCCCCAGCTCCCTCACTCCGGTTCGCTTAGCAGGCACCCTAGGGAGTTTTAACCGGTAAGAGTTCGGCATAATCCCCGCCCCTTCCCAAAGGGGCGGGAGTATTCATGAGGGTTTCTCCCCATGAATAAAAAAAAGAAACACATGATGGACATATGGATTTGACCTTGAGTGACCTTGTCAAAGGCAGGTCAACATCATGTCAATGATTTTTTAAATGGAACACCCTACTTTTTTCATTATATATTCTTGTAGCTTCGAGGTCTTGTACCTCGAGAACTTTTCAAAACACTATAATAAAGTTATTTTATGTTGAGTACTTTTCGGGTTATGGAGCTTGAAAGTTTTAGTATCGCCGGCATTAGCGTTACCCAAGGTGTACTAGATGGAGGTTGCATAGTTGGATTTACACTTGCGTGCGTGTACGTGTGTCCACATCCAGTCAACTAAGGCAAAATCGATCACTGATCCGGCCGGTTAAGCCAAGATCAACTTGAATATGTCGTTAGCCATTGATAGGATGTTCGAATGGACTTCAATTTTCTTGCAGACATAGCCTCAACCGTTTCTCAAAATGATCTACTGTTGAAATTGAAATATTTTGAGGAATGCTGTGACAAACATTAGTTGTCCGATTTTTCAAGTCTCCTGTAGATGTCGACGGAGTTTTGTAAACAATATTTTTTATATAGCTTCACAAAAATATCACGCGAAGTTAAATCAGGAAAACGTGGAGGTCATCGAATATATCCATACCTTCCTATCCATCTTTCATGAAAGATATTATTCAGGTATTCCATCACAATATATGGAAAATGAGGTGGCGCACCATCTTGCTGCCACACATTTTTTGTCAAGTAGCAAGATCTACCTCTTCTAAAAGCCCGTCTTATGCTGCAAGAAATAAAGGTAAGTTTCCCCATTTAAGCGGTTATCAAAAAAGTATGGACCAATCAAATATCCGTTTACAATTCCGCACCAAGTGTTTAAACTCCAACGGTATTGATTATCAACACGTTGAGTCCAATAAAAATTGTATGTGGACCAATAATGATAGTTATGCGTATTGAGTTGTCTGTTGTTATGAAATGAAGCTTCGTCACTGAAGAGAATATACTGGAAAAAAGTTGGGTTTTCTCTTACCATTCGTAATACTCAACGACAAAATTGTCTTTTTAGCCGCATATCATTTTCATTTACGTGTTGGGTTAAAGTGATATGGTAGGGATGGAATTTATGTCTTTGTAAAATCCTCCACACGTAACATAAGGTGACATAAGGAATTCCTAAATTACATTGCAGTTCTCGAGTTGAAATATGAGGATTCAAATTTACCATTGCTAGCACCGCTAATACACGCGAATTAACGTCATCTTCACCATTTATCCCACATAGAATAGAACATCCAGATGTCCAGTAGATAGCCAGCATGGAGATTAAAAATCTACAATGGACGTCTATGTAATATCCATAAGACCTCTACTGAACATCCAAACGTCCGCTTCTTGAACGTTCTGTGGATCTCCATAGACATTTTGAATGGAGTTTCTATGGAGGTTACACGTGCAAATATGGACATACTGATAATGAAGCTCTTATGAACATTTCCTGCAGCTTTTATGGATATTTCTACCTAATTAGCAAAAAATCATTACGTTAACGTAATTAAAGACTAATTAAACGTTATTATAACGATATGTAACGTTTTCAAATATGTCGTACCTAATGTTGTATACCAGTATCATAATGAACAAACTTTGACCTCGATTTGGAGGTTTCGATAATGTTGAATTCACAAATGTAAAGTTGTTATAAATAATGTTGTGCTAACATTTTGGTAATGTTTCTCAGTAGAAAAATTAAAAATTAATTATTGCTCTTTTTCTAGTAGAAATGATTTTTAAAGTTTTTAGCCCATGCTGGTTTTACTTGAAACTTAGTTTATTTTATTGATATCATATCACATCATATTTGGAAAACTCGCACTTGGTACTGGTGTGACACGAATTCGGACATTCAAAACAGCTTCGGATTATAAATCTATCATTTTAACACTACACCAATTCCTCACTTCATATAAGTGTGTTTACTTTGGGTATAATTTCGAAGGTTCAATAATGTTTAAATGAGACTGTTATAATGTTACAAATCTAATATCAAATTATAAACATCTTTTGAAATTATAAACATTGTTGCATTAACATTAAATAAATGTTAAAATAATATTTAAAAAATATTTGCTATGTTTTATAAAATATTTTAACAATATACAGGATGTCTCATTTTAATGTCCTACCCCAAATAACTCTTCAGTATTGAAGTTTCAAAGAAAATGATCTGAGTAAAAGTTGTAGGGATTTAAGTGAGCTACCTTATGATGACCTTTTGAAATATTGCTGCAACATTTCAGGTATAATAATGCAAAATATTGTTTTTGCAATGTCTCTGCAATATTGCACTGCAATGTGCAATGTTGCAACATTGCAGTAATATTGCTGCAATTGTCTGTGCTGTATGGGATTACGTACTATGTGGGATATATCAATAAGTGCGCATGTACGGTTTTAAATGTAGCGCGTATCTCCACTTCGCGTCACGTGACCTATTTTAGTTCGACACATCTAGGGGTGCGTTCCGTTTCACGTATATGCGCGCATTTATCTATAGTTTATGTCACGTATATTATAAAAATGCGCGCATATGCGTGAAACGGAACGCACCCCTAGTATAGACTATGGTAATGCTGAAACTTGTCACTCGTTTCTTAAGAGGGGAGTCTGTACCCCCTGACATTTTGGTGTGATTGTAGTGCTTTGTACAATGGAGTATCTATTAAATAGTATACCTTTTATACTAATTTGGATTTTCATGATTTCATCAGTAATTTCAATATTTAATATTATATCATTTATATAATGTATATTATACTGTTTATAAAACGCAAGAATATCATAAATATTGGTTATTATGTTATGCTTTTGGGTAATTGTGAAGAATACGGGCCTCCTCACCAATTTCGCTGAAACTTTGCATAATTGTGTATTTTGGTGCATAGAACATGATCTTGAAAAAGTGTCCTCAAACGAATCGAAACTTATGAAGCGATAAAAAATGACACACGCGAGGTTAGGACATCTGTCATGCCGATAATACAGAGACTTATGGTCTGTTTTTTTTAGTTAGAAAGTATATGATAGTACATGTAAGCGGGGAGGGGTTCCGCTCCTCCCCCACACCATCTCCCCAAAAATCCTAACCTAACCCAACTTATTAAATCTTCATATATTGCATACATTATTAAAAAGATTATAATTTTTAAAACCCACACTTAACAGTATACAATAAAGATGCAATAAGTTTGGTTAGGTTAGGATTTCTTTGAAGAGGGAATGTGGGGGAGGGGCTCCGCCCCTCTCCCGATTATATGTACTCACACTTTACGCATTGCACATGCTTCTCAGTTAATCTGTATTATCGGCATGACAGATTTCCTAACCCCATGCGTGTTATCTTTCAGATTTTTATAACTTGATCCATTTGAGAGCGACACTTTTTTCTTTCAAAATCGTGTTCTACGCACCAAAATACACAATTGTGCAAAGTTTTAGCGAAATTAGTGAGTAGGTCCGTATCTTCACAATTACCTTCTTTTTTATAAAATTTCAACTTAAGTTTTCAAATATACATGTATCAATATTTGTTTCATTATGTGCATATTTTTAGGCTGCTGCACATTATTGTGTATGGGGATTATGCGAAGTTTGGGAATATTGTTGTGATGAAAATGTATGCTGTACTTATGATAATTACAACATATGGATTACAGTGTAAATATATTAGATTTACCTTGAAAATTATTATACTATTATATTTACTTGTTCAAATTAAAATCAATTGGAATGTTAACAGGATAATCATAGGAGGAGTTGTAATCGGATTGATACTTGCTGGTATATGTTTTTATTATAACTTACAACGTTTATATATTTACCTGCGTCAAAAATATTACAACAATAATTTTGTTCCAATGCCTTCAGAATTTTAAATCAACATGATATTAATAAACATGTAATATAAAAAAACAAATTCTTTATCGGATCAAGCTTGTCTAGTTTGTAAGTAGAAATTCTACCAATACTTTTGTAGTAATTTATTTTTATATGCCAAAATGTTTTGAGTATATGTCATATTGTGTTGTTAGGAACAGTTGTATCCATTCTGTCTTAATTATTTTTCATTTATTGTTTATAATATTTATATAAGTTATCAAATGGTATAAATACATTATCGTACATCATCCAAACTATGTCTCCAATCAAGTATTTTATTACTAATTTTAAAAATATTCCAATCCTCATTAATTTTTGAAGCACGAGATTTAATATGTATCAGTGTGCAGACATCTTTTGTATATTCAGGTACAAAGAAGTCAGAAAGTTTGGGTGCAACATCCTTTTGTCGTGGTTCTGGATCCTTGCTCCGTATAATAGTGGGCATTTGTTTATCTTCTATGTTCAAATCCACTAAATTGTTAAAAATTGCTTCATCCAATGGAAAATCCAGTACAGTAGAAATCTATCACAAAAAAGACTAAATGCTTTTAAATATTAACCTTATGTCTTATAATTTAAAATTACATACACCATGTAACTTAGCACTAAATTGCTCATATGTTAGAATAAAAATCAAACTATTTTAATTTATATTTACCAATCATGTCTGATTAGTTTCTGTCAGTTTTAAATAATTTATATCATGAGAGTTATTATTCATCTTTAATTATGTTAATTATAACTTAAAATCAGTTTAATAACATATAGATACCATAGCCTATATTCACATAAACAGCATAAAACTAATTTGATAATTTTTAATATTATAATTACTAATGTTATATACATATTTTGTTATATGCATAAATAATTATAACATACTTGTCTATACATATATGCAACAAATACAATAATGAACATTGTTAAATCTTATGCTGTTTATACAAATATATGATCTGTTCTTTATAGCTGTACTGTTGAACTAATGCAATAAGTTAGAGTGAGAAAAAATATGATTATCTCATTTTACTTATTGCACTAGTTCAGTAGTGCAGCTATAAAGAACAGATCCAATGACTACAAACATTATTGAACTAGTTTTGGGTGCTATGAATGATAGCCATATTTAGTCTATAATCAAATTGAAATTATAATCAAGTCATAAATTTGACTTGTGTGTGTATATATATATATTAATACGAAGTAAAAGGATAATAGGTAACTACTTATAGCTACTTATTTATATATATACATATATATAATCTGATTCAAATTCATATTTATCCTAATTTTACATATTACATATTATTATATATATATAAATATTACCTTTTCATTTAAAAGATTCTTCTGTACAGATGATAAATGATTAATATTTCTGATAACCTTATGTTGTTTAATTTCCTTAAGTTTATTAAAGATACATAAGATAGAATTAAAATCTGGTTGTGCCAATTTTTCTGCAGCATTATTTGATATATAACATTGTTTACTTGCATCATCTATCTTTATATCATGCTGTTTTTTATGAGAAACTCCTGGTCCCACAGAAACTTCAATTTTAGGGCCTGTTATATTATGTAATACATTTTTTTTAACAAGTCCTTTATTTTGTATTCTAGGTTTGATATATTTATAATATGGTATAACATCAGGTATAGTAGATTTTGCATTGAATATTTTTGTTTTGGTTTGCTTCTCAGTTCTTTTCATAATGCTTGGTACAGATTTTAACTTCATTATTTCCGTTGTATTAGAATTTATAGTATCTATTTTCTGCATATCATTATTGTTCCTAAATAGTTGTAACTTATTGCATACAATTGGCTGTTCATATTGATCATCTTTTATTTTTGTCTTAATATTTTTATTCAACATAATTTTGTTTGATACTGTAGTTTTATTTTCTTTGTTTTTTTGTTGTAAAATTCTTCTACAATGTTTCAAAATATTATTTTCCATGCATCTATTTTTATCTAGTTGCAATAATTTATCAATTTCTTTCATGTTTTGAGTATTTACATTGTGTAAAGTTTTTGGAAGCTCAGTTTCTGACACATTATCATTAAACAATGATGTATTTTGAGTATTCTTAGATGCTTTATCATCAAAACATACTGCGACTTTCATTTCACAATTCTTCAAAGGTATGTCCTTTTCATGAATATCAGTATGCTCTGTAGAACTCATTATTCTAACAGGTCTTTCAAGAGTTACAATATTTTTAATTTTGGGACCATTTATTTGTAAATTTGTACGATTCTTACAAGATTCTTTAACAGTTCCATTATTTTGCTCTTTATTAGAAAGTTGAGAGAATCTAACTCTTGGTCTTAAAACGGTTTTCGTGTTTTCTGACATGGTCAACACATTTGAATATATATGGGATAATTTTTACATGGATAATTAAAATAAATTAACAGCACTCAATACATGTTCCCAACTATGACTATATAACAATGATAACAATGAACTACTAGCGATGATTTTGGCCAGATCTCAACATCTCCAGCGCCGCCAGTACCAGAGAGAAACCTGAGAGCGACCACCGGACCGGTTACGCTGGGACGCATTTTCCGACGCGCCACCTGAGAAAATGTGTGCACACTATGCCCGTCCTGACGATAATGATAAAGCGTGCATGGTTCTTGTTCACTCTATTTCCTTAAGGAAGATATTAAGTTAGAAAAGCACAGACGATCAATCGCTCTCCGTCTTTGTCTCACTACCGATGAACGACAGTGCGGCAGGAGGAAACACGAGGCGAGTCAGCGGCAGATCTTATCGCTAAACTAGAATCTCTACTGTCTTGCCCCTTCACCTCCTCATGTTTCACGCAACGCACTACCCGCAATTCGGGAAGAACAGGGTTGATACCGGACTTTATTGTGGTAAAAAAATGTGCCTGTATATTCAGCCGTTTAGGAGATATCAAAGGTAAAAGTTTTTTAACTCGTTCCGCGAATATCTCCGCTTCAACTGGGAGTTCAGAGTCGAAATTTATAGTGAACGTACGGTTTTATAGGACTATATTTTGGTGAAGAAAACAGGCCTGTATCTCTAGCCGTTTTGGAGATATCGAAGGTTAAAGTTTTCGAACTTTTCCGTTAATATCTCCGCTTCTACTGGTAGTTGAGAGTCGTAATTAATGGTGAAATGTAGGTTTTTAGAGGACTATATTTTGATGTCAGAAACAGGCCTGTATCTCTAGCCGTTTAGGAGATAGCGAAGATTAAAGTTTTCCAACCTTTCTCCGTTGATATCTCCGCTTCTACTAGGAGTAGAGAGTCGCCACTTACGGCAAAATGTAGGGTTTTGAGAGGACTTTAATTTGGTGCAAGAAACAGGCCTGTATCTCTAACCGTTTAGGAGATATCGAAGTTTAATGTTTTCCAGCCTTTCTCCGTCGATATCCAGCCTTCCTCCGTCGATATCTCCGCTTCTACTGGGAGTAGAGAGTCGTCCACGTAGTCGAAAATGTAGGGTTTTGAAAGGACTTTAATTTGGTGCCAGAACCAGGCCTGTATCTCTAACCGTTTAGGAGATATCGAAGGTTAAAGTTTTCCAACCTTTCTGCGTTGATATCTCCGCTTCTACTGGGAGTAGGTAGTCGCCTCTTACGGCAAAATGTAGGGTTTTGAGAGGACTTTAATTTGGTGCCAGAACCAGGCCTGTATCTCTAACCGTTTAGGAGATATCGAAGTTTAAAGTTTTCCAGCCTTTCTCCGTAGATATCCAGCCTTCCTCCGTCGATATCTCCGCTTCTGCTGGGAGTAGAGAGTCGTCCATGTAGTCGAAAATGTAGGGTTTTGAAATGTAGGGTTTTGAAAGGACTTTAATTTGGTGCCAGAACCAGGCCTGTATCTCTAACCGTTTAGGAGATATCGAAGGTTAAAGTTTTCCAAGCTTTCTCCGTTGATATCTCCGCTTCTACTGGGAGTAGAGAGTCGTCACTTACGGCAAAATGTAGGGTTTTGAGAGGACTTTAATTTGGTGCCAGAACCAGGCCTGTATCTCTAACCGTTTAGGAGATATCGAAGGTTAAAGTTTTCCAAGTTTCTCCTTTGATATCTCCGCTTCTACTGGGAGTAGAGAGTCGTCACTTACGGCAAAATGTAGGGTTTTGAGAGGACTTTAATTTGGTGCCAGAACCAGGCCTGTATCTCTAACCGTTTAGGAGATATCGAAGGTTAAAGTTTTCCAAGTTTTCTCCGTCGATATCTCCGCTTCTACTGGGAGTAGAGAGTCGTCCATGTAGTCCAAAATGTAGGGTTTTGAAAGGGCTTTAATTTGGTACCTGTCCGAAGCCTGTATCTCTAACCGTTTAGGAGATATCGAAGGTTAAAGTTTTCCAACCTTTCTCCGTCGATATCCAGTCTTCATCCATCGATATCTCCGCTTCTACTGGGAGTAGAGAGTCGTCCATGTAGTGCAAAATGTAGGGTTTTGAAAGGGCTTTAATTTGGTACCTGTCCGAAGCCTGTATCTCTAACCGTTTAGGAGATATCGAAGGTTAAAGTTTTCCAACCTTTCTCCGTCGATATCTCCGCTTCTACTGGGAGTAGAGAGTCGTCCATGTAGTGCAAAATGTAGGGTTTTGAAAGGGCTTTAATTTGGTACCTGTCCGAAGCCTGTATCTCTAACCGTTTAGGAGATATCGAAGGTTAAAGTTTTCCAACCTTTCTCCGTCGATATCCATCCTTCATCCGTCGATATCTCCGCTTCTACTGGAGTAGAGGGCGTCCATGTAGTCCAAAATGTAGGGTTTTGAAAGGGCTTTAATTTGGTACCTGTCCGAAGCCTGTATCTCTAACCGTTTAGGAGATATTGAAGGTTAAAGTTTTCCAACCTTTCTCCGTCGATATCCAGCCTTCATCCGTCGATATCTCCGCTTCTACTGGGAGTAGAGGGTCGTCCATGTAGTCCAAAATGTAGGGTTTTGAAAGGGCTTTAATTTGGTACCTGTCCGAAGCCTGTATCTCTAACCGTTTAGGAGATATCGAAGGTTAAAGTTTTCCAACCTTTCTCCGTCGATATCTCCGCTTCTACTGGGAGTAGAGAGTCGTCCATGTAGTGCAAAATGTAGGGTTTTGAAAGGGCTTTAATTTGGTACCTGTCCGAAGCCTGTATCTCTAACCGTTTAGGAGATATCGAAGGTTAAAGTTTTCCAACCTTTCTCCGTCGATATCCAGTCTTCATCCGTCGATATCTCCGCTTCTACTGGGAGTAGAGAGTCGTCCATGTAGTCCAAAATGTAGGGTTTTGAAAGGGCTTTAATTTGGTACCTGACCGAAGCCTGTATCTCTAACCGTTTAGGAGATATCGATGGTTAAAGTTTTCCAACCATTCTCCGTCGATATCCAGTCTTCATCCGTCGATATCTCCGCTTCTACTGTGAGTAGAGAGTCGTCCATGTAGTGCAAAATGTAGGGTTTTGAAAGGGCTTTAATTTGGTACCTGTCCGAAGCCTGTATCTCTAACCGTTTAGGAGATATCGAAGGTTAAAGTTTTCCAACCTTTCTCCGTCGATATCCAGCCTTCATCCGTCGATATCTCCGCTTCTACTGGGAGTAGAGGGTCGTCCATGTAGTCCAAAATGTAGGGTTTTGAAAGGGCTTTAATTTGGTACCTGTCCGAAGCCTGTATCTCTAACCGTTTAGGAGATATCGAAGGTTAAAGTTTTCCAACCATTCTCCGTCGATATCCAGTCTTCATCCGTCGATATCTCCGCTTCTACTGGGAGTAGAGAGTCGTCCATGTAGTGCAAAATGTAGGGTTTTGAAAGGGCTTTAATTTGGTACTGTCCGAAGCCTGTATCTCTAACCGTTTAGGAGATATCGAAGGTTAAAGTTTTCCAACCTTTCTCCGTCGATATCCATCCTTCATCCGTCGATATCTCCGCTTCTACTGGGAGTAGAGGGTCGTCATTGTAGTCCAAAATGTAGGGTTTTGAAAGGGCTTTAATTTGGTACCTGTCCGAAGCCTGTATCTCTAACCGTTTAGGAGATATGAAGGTTAAAGTTTTCAACCTTCTCCGTCGATATCCAGCCTTCATCCGTCGATATCTCCGCTTCTATGGAGTAGAGGGTCGTCATTGTAGTCCAAAATGTAGGGTTTTGAAAGGGCTTTAATTTGGTACCTGTCCGAAGCCTGTATCTCTAACCGTTTAGGAGATATCGAAGGTTAAAGTTTCTAACCTTTCTCCGTCGATATCCAGCCTTCATCCGTCGATATCTCCGCTTCTATTGGGAGTAGAGGGTCGTCATTGTAGTCCAAAATGTAGGGTTTTGAAAGGGCTTTAATTTGGTACCTGTCCGAAGCCTGTATCTCTAACCGTTTAGGAGATATCGAAGGTTAAAGTTTCTAACCTTTCTCCGTCGATATCCAGCCTTCATCCGTCGATATCTCCGCTTCTATTGGGAGTAGAGGGTCGTCATTGTAGTCCAAAATGTAGGGTTTTGAAAGGGCTTTAATTTGTACCTGTCCGAAGCCTGTATCTCTAACCGTTTAGGAGATATCGAAGGTTAAAGTTTTCTAACCTTTCTCCGTCGATATCCAGCCTTCATCCGTCGATATCTCCGCTTCTATTGGGAGTAGAGGGTCGTCATTGTAGTCCAAAATGTAGGGTTTTGAAAGGGCTTTAATTTGGTACCTGTCCGAAGCCTGTATCTCTAACCGTTTAGGAGATATCGAAGGTTAAAGTTTTCTAACCTTTCTCCGTCGATATCCAGCCTTCATCCGTCGATATCTCCGCTTCTATTGGGAGTAGAGGGTCGTCATTGTAGTCCAAAATGTAGGGTTTTGAAAGGGCTTTAATTTGGTACCTGTCCGAAGCCTGTATCTCTAACCGTTTAGGAGATATCGAAGGTTAAAGTTTTCTAACCTTTCTCCGTCGATATCCAGCCTTCATCCGTCGATATCTCCGCTTCTATTGGGAGTAGAGGGTCGTCATTGTAGTCCAAAATGTAGGGTTTTGAAAGGGCTTTAATTTGGTACCTGTCCGAAGCCTGTATCTCTAACCGTTTAGGAGATATCGAAGGTTAAAGTTTTCTAACCTTTCTCCGTCGATATCCAGCCTTCATCCGTCGATATCTCCGCTTCTATTGGGAGTAGAGGTCGTCATTGTAGTCCAAAATGTAGGGTTTTGAAAGGGCTTTAATTTGGTACCTGTCCGAAGCCTGTATCTCTAACCGTTTAGGAGATATCGAAGGTTAAAGTTTTCTAACCTTTCTCCGTCGATATCCAGCCTTCATCCGTCGATATCTCCGCTTCTATTGGAGTAGAGGGTCGTCATTGTAGTCCAAAATGTAGGGTTTTGAAAGGGCTTTAATTTGGTACCTGTCCGAAGCCTGTATCTCTAACCGTTTAGGAGATATCGAAGGTTAAAGTTTTCTAACCTTTCTCCGTCGATATCCAGCCTTCATCCGTCGATATCTCCGCTTCTATTGGGAGTAGAGGGTCGTTCATTGTAGTCCAAAATGTAGGGTTTTGAAAGGGCTTTAATTTGGTACCTGTCCGAAGCCTGTATCTCT